AACAATTTTTTTTGCACCTACCAGGAAGTGAGTCAGTATTGTTCGCACGTCATTGAAGTGTCATTGTAAAATAAAGTATAGGCAACAATACATACTTATTTCTGCAACAGACACAAAAGTCGTCCATTTTAATACCTGAATTAGCTCTTGAATTGTCGTTTCTATCACTGACAATAACATAGGTATGTTGCTAGGCACTTTTAGTTCCTAGGAGCTAAAGTTGAACTTTAGCTACTAGGAACTAAAAAGGATGTACTAGGTCATCAATAATAAACAACATTGTTATGGTTGGTTATTTGGGCTGGGACGCATACCTGATTTGTTCCCGATTTCGGCAGATTTGGCATATCATACTCATGCTGGAGAGATTGATTGGATAACTTGTTTCTTAATAATCACGGCCAGCAATACTTTTTTGTCTCACACAACTATATTGTTTACCTTCATTTGATTACCGAGCCAAACACACTGGGATATGGAGAGAAACAAATAATCGCTATGATTATTGTTGATATGCTCACTAACCTAACATTTTCCACATCTTTTTCCTATTTTTTCACCACACGGAGTATTTGTTGATGCATTGCATACATCCACGATTCGGGTATAGTATTGAATTGGTGCCTGTAGTATCTGATGATACATGTCGACACAAATTGTAACAAAGTAAAGTCATCGTCTACCAATATTCTAATGTAAAGTAGTCTGAGGTCCTGCTTCTATCTACTTACCTACATTATTATAATAAAGGTATTATAATAATCTGTCAAGTAAGTCACATTGGTGGTTACTCCACATATTTATTTTAGTTAATTCTTTGGGTTGCAGAATAAATAGCATGTTTCATTCGGATCAAAAGTGACTTTGTCTGACTCGCAAAATGCGCTTGTCAAACAAAGTGTCACTTTTCGAGTTTTCATCCTAATAAAACAATCTACTATACTGACTTAGTACATAAATTACTAATTTTCAGTCAGTCAAAAAAATCGCCTCTTGAAGTTTGGTCACTTACAAATAACACCTATATAAGTGTATCCATAAAGTTGTCAAGTTTGAAAACTTTCCCAATTCAGGCATATCCCTGGTTTTATTTTACTGGATCATCAGTGATGTTCTTTCTTCCTAATATGACTGTAGTATAGACTGATATGTATAGACCATCAAGACACGCTCCTCTGCGCGAGCATTGTTATTGAATAACTGTTATTTTCTTGGTTCAAAACAAGTGTAGGATGACGAACAAGTATCAGGTTGTGACAGGTGTTCAAAGGATAGGATATAGGATAGGATCGGATAGAAATATAACCAATTTTAGCATTTACCTTCCTTCGAATCGAAAAAAATTCCAAGACACTTTTGCATTGAACTCAGAACTGACAATTCAATCTGAATGGTACAACTTTCTATTTTCTTTTGAATTTGTGTGGTATAAGGAGGAATCTAATTGTTCTAAATTGTTGCTCTAAAATTGTTCTTATCCATCACTCGGTTACCCCCTTACGAGCAACCCTCAGAATTCCAAAAGACAAAAATTTCTGCGGTCGTGGTGGGAATCGATTATTATTGTAATATCTACAATTACTTGATCCAAGCCATTTTCCTTGAGGAGTAGCTACCAAGAATCCCCAATAGATACAATGGGTTAAGAATTGAAATTTTTCTCGAAGTATATCCCGAAAAGTCGAAACTTATACGAGGCTATAGTTTTTATGCGTTCATATAATATATAGGTCGCGTGCACGATGACCGACCCTGGAGGCAAAATATTGAAACACAACCTCATTCTTCTGTGAATTATCAAAACACAACCTCACTTTCTAATTGGTTACAGAGGAATCAAAGGATTGAACTAGTTTTTCACAATACTTTGGCATACGAATTACGAATCGTGTTTTTTGCGCTATTCATTAATTCGAGCATGCCTTCGCATTGTGCTGTTGTACAATGCACAAAAAATGCAGCAAGAGACTAAAGAATATGATTTTTCAGGTAATTAGTAATCTCACATAGTTATCATTATGAAATGTTGTCATTCCTTATTAAAATTCCTTCTGCCTTCTGTCACTTCTGCAATACAAGCTAATACTGCTAATAGATTGAAAATGTCTACAACACACACGATCGTCAGCATGTCAGACCAGTCCTCCCGATTGATTGCATGAATCCAATTTTCTGGCATTATTTTAGAAATTTCAGATGTATTTCTATTAGCTTCTATCGCAGAAAGAATTCCGATGAGAAATCAGAGAAATTACCAAATTTCAAAAATGAAAACTATATGTGAGTGACTATAGTAGGTACTTACTTTTGAATCATATTGTACCAACCGGATTACTTCGTCTTCCGCTGCAGTTTTTGTGCATTTCACAACAGCATAATGTGATGGCATGAGGGAATTGATGAATAGCGGAAAAACACGCTTCGTATGCCAAAATAATTGTGAAAAACTATTTCAATCACTTGTAAACAAATAAGTAAAGTGACGTTTGTGTTTCGATATTTTGCCTCCAGTGTCGGTCATCTGACAGTTCTTGCACGCAACCCATTCCTATTGATTCCTTGTTTGAAATTATATTGAGTAATGTGTACTTACAAGAATCTTGTAACAGGTTTACCTCATTAAACACAGAATTAATTAATCAAACTGCGCACTCTCGAGCATGCGACAGCCAAAAAACAAACACTCGAAACTCTTCTGGCTTTATTTGAACAAGCAAAAAAACATTCGACGGTCTACTTGAGCTCAGATTCGCTCCATAAAATAGGTATTATTTGTTTTTAACATCTGTCACTGTAACGTTCCTATGCGAAAAAGGGAAATAGCTCGGGAAATAGTGAGAACGCAGTAATAATTAACGAATAAATAGTAATTTACGTGAGAAGTCCGGAAAAAAAACGTTTTTTTGGACGAGTAGACAAAATTCTAGGCCGAGCCGTAGGCGAGTCGTGGAAGTCTGCGAGTCCAAAAAAACTGTTTTTGGATGTGTTGCGTATACAGTGTCATTCATAAAGTCGGCATCATATGGGAAAAACTTTTATTAATGACTTATTTTGAAATTCGAGTTGGACGTTAAGTTTTGCTTCAAATATAAGATGAAAAATGACCTATTCAATCGGGATCACCTGACTTTCGCTACATGTCAAAAGTGACATTTTTTCAAATTAATCGCTGAAAGTAGGCTTATTTGTTCGAATATCGAAAAAGTTTACTTGAAAAAGTTGTTTCTATCTAAAGTTTACATATTATGTGACTCAGATTTTATCTTTCTATTACATTTTTCAGATTTTGATTTTTAAAAAATTTTCGAAATTGTAAATTCGATAAAACTACTTCATACCAGTAGTTTCATCATGCTACCAACTTCCAATTACTAATTATCACTAATTATCGACGAAAATATGATTTTATTCAGTAAATGATAATCTCCGCTTCAAAATTCTGTTATGTTTGATGCAAACATAACATCAAAATCCTGTTATGTTTTAGTCGAGCATTTAGAAACGAAATTCATTTAAATTTATTTTTTCAGTACTGAAAAGATCAGTTTAAATGAATTTTGTTTCTGAATGCTTGACGATATATCAACTTTGCATCAAACATATCAGAATTTGGAAGCGGGTATTAACATTTTCTGAAGAAAATCATATTTCTGTCCATAATCAGTGATAATGAGTAATTAAAAGTAAGTAGCATGAAAAAGCTACTGGTATGAAGTAGTTTCGTGGAATTGAAAATTCTCCAAACATTACAGAAATTTCGAAAAATTTAAAGAAAAAATCAAAATCTTGAAGTTGCAATAGAATGATCAGATTCGAGAGGCATGTGTAAAATTGAAATAGAAACAACTTTTTCAAGTAAACTTTTTCGATATTCAAACAAATAAGCCTACTTTCAGCGATTAATTTGAAAAAATGTCACTTTTGACATGTAGCGAAAGTGACCCTGATTGAGTAGGCCATTTTTCATCTTTTTTGAAGCAAAACTTAACGTTCAACTCGGATTCCAAAATAAGTCGTTAATAATAGTTTTTCCCATATATGATGCCGACTTTATGAATGACACTGTATACACTATTTTTTCGGCAACCATGTAGAATAACAAATCAATGAGACACATTTCCATATTATATTTCTTTGTAGAATATAATTTCTTCTTTATTGATTCTTATTTGTATCAAATACTGAAATTTGAACAGAATGCCTATACCTACCATATACGTATTAATAATCAATACGGATAATCTCTATCTGTTTCCATAGCGAAACATGAAGCCGATTTTTGAAGACAAATGACTATCCATAAGGAACAGTTTTGAAACGATCAGACACATACTGCATTGATTGAAAGGCTAGTAAACGTCATTGTCCACCGAAACGCATGTCTTTGATGACTACTATAATAGCGCATGGCGCATGCGTATCATGCCACCAAATCCTTATGGATATTCATTTGTTTCATATTTTTGGCTTCATCCTGGCACCCGTTATGATCCGTATTGTTTATTAATACGTATATGATACCTACTAACTGTTACATTGGAAACGAATGGACATTTTCAATCTCACTATCGCAGGTGCTTTCGATAGTTTATTGCGATAATTGCAACCAAACTTTCAAAAATCAAAATGTCAACTAATTTCATGTCAAATAGCTGTCAGCCGATATTTCGCTGTAGTATTACCATCGTCCACCAATATTCTAATATTGGTGGACGATGGTATTACTCTTTATCAAAATAAAAAGAAGCACCACCCGACCATATTCTGTCGAAAATCGCCCTCCTGCAAGGCCTTGGCCGGACCAGCACTGGCCAGGGGCGGCTGAGGCAAAAACAAGAATTATATTTTTCAGAAATAAAAAAACGAGCAAACTCAAAGATTTCTTCAGATCTCTGCATTTTTCACAAATTCCTACATATTCCATAGGCGTAGACAAATAATTTTTTTAGGGGTCTCACCAATGATAAAATAAATAAAAATCGATTTATTCTGTTTTTCAGTCGAATGGGTATGCTCTTCGACGAAACGATGCAAAACGACCAAGCGTCGCCCTCCTGCAAGGCCCTGCCTGGCCTCAGTCCTGGCCAGGGGCGGCTCTGCCAGCTGTACGGCGACCACATGAACGCAGTGGCGTGGGGGGCGAAGCAGTCCCTCAACGAATGCAAGCACCAGTTCCATCACAGGAGGTGGAACTGCTCGCTGCTCGATGATGTCAACGTTTTTGGGCCAGTCATCACCATAGGTGAGTTTTTTTCTCGGTGTCTACACCGCTTATTTGAGGTAGTACTAGATTTCCAAAAATAGGAAGTACATATAGCGTGTCCCAGCTGAACTTTGCTCTCTTATCTCCGAAGTCATAAAAAAGTTGAAATCTGTCCGACTCGTAGATTTTAATTTCGAGAGGGAGCTCTTTCATCAAATACGCCATCATTGTGCTGTCAACCCTACTTCCGAATTTTCAATGCTTGTGGAGGAACGATGAAGCTTGTTTGTGATATGTGGAACCTTCTTACTTGTTAGTTCTATTGGTTCTTCAGCTGATATTATAATTCAACTATTAGTTTGGACTGATCTGAGTTGACCACGATTATAGTGATTTCTTCATACTTTTTATACTTCAACCTAACTTTCACACTTGTTTTGTTTTTTCTTTTGATCATGTAGTTTGCCAATCTGACTCAGGGCATAGGTTGCGTGCAAGAACTGTCAGATGACCGACACTGGAGGCAAAATATTGAAACACAAACGTCACTCTACTTATTTGTTTACAAGTGATTGAAATAGTTTTTCACAATTATTTTGGCATACGAATCGTATTTTTCCGCTATTCATCAATTCGCTCATGCCATCACATTATGCTGTTGTGAAATGCACAAAAACTGCAGCGGAAGACGAAGTAATCCGGTTGGTACAATATGATTTAAAAGTAAGTACCTACTATAGTCACTCACATATAGTTTTCATTTTTGAAATTTGGTAATTTCTCTGATTTCTCATCGGAATTCTTCCTGCGATAGAAGCTAATAGAAATACATCTGAAATTTCTAAAATAATGCCAGAAAATTGGATTCATGCAATCAATCGGGAGGACTGGTCTGACATGCTGACGATCGTGTGAGTTGTAGACATTTTCAATCTATTAGCAGTATTAGCTTGTATTGCAGAAGTGGCAGAAGGAATTTTAATAAAGAATGAAAACATTTCATAATGATAACTATGTGAGATTACTATTTACCTGAAAAATCATATTCTTTAGTCTCTTGCTGCATTTTTTGTGTATTGTACAACAGCACAATGCGAAGGCATGCTCGAATTAATGAATAGCGCAAAAAACACGATTCGTATGCCAAAATATTGTGAAAAACTAGTTCAATCCTTTGATTCCTTTGTAACCAAGTAAGAAAGTGAGGTTGTGTTTCAATAATTCACAGAAGAATGAGGTTGTGTTTCAATATTTTGCCTCCAGGGTCGGTCATCGTGCACGCGACCTATAGAGCACACTGATAACAGTTAGCTGTGACATTGATGACGAGAGCAACTTGGCTCCACAGAACTTACTCCAAGACATTCTTGAAGTTCTTTTCAAAAAATGTGAATGGGAAGGGAAGCCATACTTGTTTAGAGAGGAACTGATTGTGATATTTTTGGATGTTCCTCATGATAAGGCTCATTCCAGATGATGTGAGCAGTTCATAAAATGTGCTCTGATTTTTCATTTTATCTTTAGGATACTGGTTATTATGACATAGGAGTACTAGAGTGGAAGATTTGACAGATGAGTTTAGTATCAGTGTTATTTTGTTCGTCCTAGAAGTTCGAATATGCTTTTTGATGAGTGACTGAAATGGCTGGTTTCAAACATATCCAGGAATGCAGACAAAACACATATTGCTGTATATGAATCCGATGAGCAGAAGGGAAGCATCTGTAGTAATCGCATCAAATTCAAAATCATGGCCCGTCGGATTCATATTGTCATTATGCAAATCTGCAGTCGGCATCCCCCGTTTGGCCATTGCCTCTTTCATCTTGTGCAATTGGTGCATTTCGTTATTACAGATTATGTCTGCAGTTCATCGACTCAAGAGCTTTCTGAAAAATTTATACTATTTCGGTGTCTACATTTTTAGATGCTGTTCAGTTGCACGTCATGTTTATAATTCAACAACAACATTTTTCAATTCAGTTGCCTAAATCTATTGAAATGTTTTCGAGAATTTTTCTGACATCAAATGATTCGTGAATTTGTCAACCACTTGTTGAATGTACGCTTGTGTTAGTGTATTTGACGTGATTCCAGTTATTATACTCACCCTTTTCAAAACCGTATGGTATTTTTGTGCGGCCTTTTTGATGACCTGTCATTATGCTCACATATACGCGACCCTAATTGGACAAGAAAGGTGTTCTTACGTGCGAGTAATATCTTCCGAGGAAATAATGTTTCTTGTCAAAAAAGTTAATGACACCCAACAGTGAACAGTGTATACCTAATGAAGGTCATTAAATATTTTTTCTTCAACTGCTGATAGAATATACTTATGTCGTCCTGTCTTGGACTATACTTTTCCAAGTTTATAAAAATTTAATAGCATCACCATCGCTAATCTATGAAGGATCTCAATGGTTAATAATATACAGCGTGTCTCACTTCAAGTGCTGCTACGAATTATTAGGTTCTAGAGACGGATTCGAAGATTGTTTTTCATTGAAGTTTTTAGAGATTTATATAATTCCATATCATCAACTGTCGAATAGGCCGAGTTTTTGCCACGAATCCTCGCAAAATGTACTTACCAGCTATTATATCCTCCTCCGCAAGTCTCAAGTATCATAATTCGTGTATGTTTACAGATCTTCGGTAAACCGAGAGTGAGATAGATCTCAATTTACGTAAGTACTTTGAGATTAATGAGTCGCTTTAAATTATGATTAGTGGTTGTAATCTTGTCGACGCGTCGTATATCATCACTTAAGTACCGCAGGAATGAATATTGATTGCTTATTCTCCGTCTTCGACGGTGGTTTTCACCTGGGAAATTTTGCATAAATTTGCTATAGTAGATAATAATCCGCTTTTGTCAATAAAGAATCATTTATGATGAGTGCGAGTTCTGAAAGGACCATAGCCGTGCAAAAGAACTCTTGGAAACATCATTAATGGTTTTCCGAAGGTCATCGTTCTTGCAAATTCTTGTGGTTGCATGGTTTGATGCAAATTTGACAGATGACCAAGATGGGGATAGAAAGTGAGGTTAAATATCACACTTTCATGGTTTCTTCAGGTCGGATAGTTGAACATTCTCAATGTTTTTAGATGAAATTTCATGGAAAAAAGGTATATCTATAATAGTGTGCTTTGTTACTGATGATGTGTTTTTTTTTGTTATTTCTTACATGCGGAAACACCTGAAAATCCCTGTATTATCGGTATTATTATACAGGGTCGCTGATATGTATGGAAACAGGTGAATATCTCGGTAACCTGTTGTTGGATTGTTTTGAATTTATGTACTGTGTGATTTCAAAACGTGGCAGATTTGAAAATGTTATAGCCAATGTTGCCACTTTTTCAGTTATACCGGATTTTTTATTGACTTCCTTATTTTGAATAGAACACCCTGTAATTTATTGAATTTTCAGATTCTCCCTGAAGAGCTAATTCCATCGATCTATCACACTTGGGGTCTAGCAGGAATGAATACATAGGTATAGGGTGTTTAAAATCTAGATTTTTCAACTTTAGTATTTTTTTGTGTCGAAACTATTCATTATCGATCAAAACCGCTCCAGTGTTCCCATCTTTACTTCTGATTTACTATCTACTCACATTTAATTGAAACAAATACAGGGTGGTTCAAGATTCAGAATTCTGATCACCCTCTGTATCTGTTCCAATTAAATAGTCAGTAGATGGTAAATCAAAAGTGAAGATAGGAACATTGAAGCGGTTTTGATCGATAATGGATAGTTTCTACACAAAAAAATCTTGAAGTTGAAAAACCTAGATTTTAAACACCCTATACCTATGTAATCATTCCCGCTCGACCCCAAGTGTGATAGATCGATGGAATCAGCTCTTCAAGGAGAATCTGGAAATCCAATAAAGTACAGGGTGTTTCATTCAAAATAAGGAAGTTACTAAAAATCCGGAATAACTGAAAAAGTGGCAACAGAGGCTATAACATTTTCAAATCCGCCACGTTTTGAAATCACACTGTACATAAATTCAAAAAAATCTAACAACAGATTGCCGAGATATTCACCTGTTTCCATACATATCAGCGACCCTGTATGTAATTTTATGCACTTCAGGGATTTAAAGGGTACTTTTATTCCTTATTTTCGGGAAAAAGTGGTACATTAAATCCCTAGAGATTTAATGTTAGTTTGAATCCCAAGGGATTCGAGATCAATTAAGCATCCAATTAGTTTTCAAATCGTATGGAAAATATTTATTTCCTTATCTTATAATTTGTAGGAAATATCTATGATACATTCTACCAGTAAGTAATTCCAATGTTCTTTCGCCCGTAGGATTTTCAATTAATCATCATAAATACCAAGGATTCTTTGTGACTGCTGACTGCTCGGGGAACAACTAACTGTCGGCGATGCAATCTCGACCATATCTTCTTGTAAATCTATTGGATGTGAGGTGCGCATAATCGTATTATACACGGCAAGAATGCAACTGAGAAATAATGCACCCGCAGAAAGCTGCACCATAGTGTTGCCAATAGTAAAAATAATCTCTGGTAGAAGTCCGTCATTTTTCAAAATGGATCTTGTTATATGACGCTATATATAGTGGAGTATACTACGATTACTACGGCCTTGCCAAAAATACTATCTCGGAAACTAAGCGAGATAGAGGTATAGTTACTTTGGAGAAAATGATCCCCATCGAATTTTGAGAAACTTTGGTTTTTGTGTGTGGTCTGTCTGTCTGTCTGTACTCTGTGGTAATCATAAATCGATATATCTCCGGAACCCTTTGACATATCGAAATTTTTCCATCTTATTGTACTCAAAACAATATTATGTCATCGAACTATGAAGGAAATTGGAAAACTCTAAGGTGGCTTTTTCGGGTTTTTACGATTTTTCACCGGAAGTTTCTTGTGACCACTCTACAAATCGCAAAAGTGGTCCGATCGATTTCATTTTTTGTGAAAAAAAAACTCTATCAGGGAGAGACGAAGTCTATTGAAATTGAACAGGGTCGGGAAATTCCAAGTG